GAAGTTGCAAATATTAGACAATAATGCCGTAGATTTGGAACCAATGTGGTATTTCTACAATTATATTTTGGAAGATGAAACTCACAGGCAGAGGTTTATAGACAACATTGTCTTGTCTCTTTTGCCAGTCACTCCGCCGGTAATTCAAAGAGTTTTCCAACTCTTATTCTTGGTTGACAAAGAGTTGGCTACGCGAGTCAAGGCTGCTTATGAGGTGGCACTCGCTGCCCAGCAAGCAGCAGCACTGGCTGTTCCTCCCCCTGTTCCTGGAAGAAGAGTTCCTTCTGCGCGGGACCATCCTAAAAAAGAGACGAAATGATTAAATGTAATGTGACATTAAGTTACAAGAATACAATTACGGTTAGTTTTATGTAAGTTGATAATATTAAATAATAAAACCTATTATTTTAATTTGACTTTTCAATATATTATGAATAGCAGATAGAGAGAATAACTTTCCCTATAACCGAATTCATCAAGTTTATAAATTTTAACTTAATGATACCAGACATATTGTGTTAAAAATAATATATATAAATCACCTATTTCTATTTTTTATAATAACTATCGTGAGTCATACTAACTTAAGTAAAAACGCGGGTTACTCACGTGAATATACTGAGAAAAGCTCTACTAGTTTCGAACCACAGAGGGGTTCGCGCAGCTCACTCAAGCGCGACGTCGCCGCGACCGCGCTGAGGAAGAACCCGTCTGTGGTTCGAAACTAGTAGAGCTTTTCTCAGTATATTCACGTGAGTAACCCGCGTTTTTACTAAACCTATTTCTATTATTTGAATTAATATTTTGACAGATTTTTTTTAGTCAATGTAACAGTTACAGTTTTATTGACGTCAATGCATTGTTAAAGTATATTTTTATTACTTACATGTACAGAATATCCAGTAAATAGAACGAAACACAGATTTATTTTGGATCGTAATAGCATAATGCTTACTTTCCCTTATGTTACACGTTATATTGTTATAAAAGAATAGGTAATTTAAACAAATCCGTCATGAAACTTATATTAACCACAATTTGTAAAATTATATATGTAAGTCTGACGTAAGCCCCGGTACCTCCTGGTTTACTTTAATAGCAATATTCATATTTGATGCGATAACTTCACGCATTCCATAAGGCATTCTTATTCAGTTTTTCTATTTTTATATTACTGATTCTGGTTTCTTTTATCCCTTAAATCATATTTATAACATCAGTAGCTTATTTTTTAAAGCAAATATGAGTTAATATAGGGACTAACGTACTTTCCATATTAAGTAACACTGAGTGATTAATAGGTAGATTATTATATTAATCGATAACTTACTAAACACGAACTAACATAATTCTCTATCTATTACTCTACCTAAGGGCGAAATTAATACCCTATCTCTATTTTAAATCTGTACATTAAGGTTAATATTTGACACAAACGTCGCGGGTTTGATTCCCGCACGGAACAACTCTTTGTATGATCCATAGATTGTTGTTCCAGGTCTGGGTGTCAAGTGTATGTGAACTTGTATGTTTTTAAACGCACCCACGACATAGGATAAAATCCTAGAATGTTGTAATGTGTGAATGTTCTAATGTACGTTTTATTTAAAAAAAACCTATGTCAAAAATCATTTCTAATACACAGATTTTAGTTCTATGGTAGTTTAATAGTTTCGGCGATTAGACTATTTATTTATTTATTTATTTATGTACACACATTCATCACAGAGGACAACACATATATAAAAACAGAGTACATAGGCCCCACATATTCCAACTGGAATCTCTTCCTGTGGGCCTGTGGCAGGAAAAGATATAATAACACCGAGACACATAGTGTGTTACACAAACAATAAAAAAAAAGAATAATAATAATAATAACGAAGAAACCGATAGAAATAACAATAATAAACAATAAAACAAACTAATACAAAGCTATTATATAAAAAGAAATAAAAAAAAAATAACCTTTATATAAATATATTATATTTATATAATTTCACATTATGCATACTTATTATGGTTGTTTCGTATGGAATCAATTCTATAGATACAGATTAAGTTCGCCTGATCTTTTCTAAACGACTTCAAAAAGAAAAGAAAGATTCTCAGTATGGCCTGTATGGATGTGTAATGTATGCATGTTTGTAAGCGATTATCTCGCGATGGGCTGTACCGATTTTATAGCGGTTTTTGGAAAAGTGTTTGATAGGAGAAGGTTTAATGCATTTATTAAATTTCCAATAAAAACTAAATAAAATTAAAATTAATAATCAATACATAGTATAAAACAAAGTCGCTTTCGCTGTATGTCCGTATGTACGCTTAGATCTTTAAAACTACGCAACGGATTTTGATGCGGTTTTTTTAATAGATAGAGTGATTCTTTAGGAAGGTTTGTATGTATAATACATGCATATTGCACCCGTGCGAAGCTGGGGCGGGTCACTAGTAAAATATATACAACTTAAGATTAAAATTATATAAAACAAAAACAAAAACAACTATTTACATAAACAATGTTTTAGTATGTTAATTAACGGGATTAAAAAAAGGGGTTGAAGACGGGTTTGTAAAAGAAATATCACTATGTAGGCTATGCAAATTATAGATAACAATGTCACACCATCAGCTACAATAAACGTGCTGTCTGAGACAGTGTGTAAGTTAATGACGACTTAATACTAATCACATTTTCTATTTAAACATTTAAAATTACCTATTTCGATTATGTCTTTGATTTGATTCACTACAAATATAACAATTGTTTAAACCAGTAATATTTTTTAGGTCAATGCAACTTTGTGAAAATGTAATATTTATGTCTCTACGTAAAAAAATTATATAGGGTGTTCTATCTATACTAATATTATAAAGAGGAAAGATTTGTAAAAAAAAATGTTTGTAATGAATAAACTCAAAAACTACTGAACCGATTGCAATAATTTTAAAAAAATTAGAAAGCTGCTGCTGCATAGGCTATATAATATCACGCTAGGTCCTATAGAAAAAAAGCAGTAACCAAAAATGTTTTAAAAACGGGGGTAAAGTATCGTTTCTGAGGCCTTCCGTGGCGTGCGCTGAGCATATAGTTAAAGTTATACAAAAATGCTCTATAGATGAATTGTTCATAAATAAATGAAATAAGTAAATGAAGTCCGGAAAAATATTTTTAAAAGGTAAAAACTTCCTAAATAAATAAAAACTGAGAATAAATATAAATAAAACGTAAAACTATGTAAAAAATCTTAAGTCCCCCCGTGCGAAGCCGGGACGGGCCGCTAGTTCTTAATAAAGTCGTAGGCAACCTCTGGATGCTGGTCGCTTTCAAACGGCCTATCTGGAAGTCATTAGGGAAGGCCTATCTTTAATAGTAATTGCACGTTTATCACGGTGGCCGGGCAACTGGCTGACACGCAACGTGTCGCGTTTTCGATTCCTGCACGGAACAATTCTTTGTGTGATCCTCAGATTCCATAGATGGTTGTTCCGGGTCTGAGTGTCATGTGTATGTACGGCACAGAAGAAACTTCTAGTGTGGGGCAACGTTTAAAAAAAAGAAAGAATAATGGTTGTCCTGTAGCTGATATGATAACGATGATGAAGTTGATGATATAGAGTTCAGTGATACTATAAATGGTTGACATCTCTTGGATCGAATAAAGTTGTTTTTTGTCGTGTTTATTATTATTTATCAGTTGAAATTTAAAAACAAATTATAATACACACTGAACCTGACATAATATTTCCGTGGATGGATATTATGTTGGATTGTTCTATTTCAAACTGTCATTTGATACCCGAAGTTTGGGAATTGGTTGAATCCTTAATCCATCATTCAGATTAATGCCGACCGATTTGATCATAGGAGCAAGGGAAAAGAGAGTACATTTTGAGAAGCCTAGCACTGTCCTTAGGACATGTACATATTTGGACTACAACATTTATCTATAACTCAATTGGCTAGTCTTAAGATAAAAAATCTTCTCCATTATTTTTTTTTCACAGTAAGTAGTCAACAAGAAGGTAAAGCTTCTTTGTTGATTGTATCATCCTGTATGTCTAATATAGGATATAGTAGTGTATTTGGCTTTGTTCATCTACTAATTAAGGACTTTTAGGATACTTTAAATTTGGTATAAAAATCGGTTATGAAACAATATTGCATAAGATCGCAATTCATTATGAAGTCGATCGTAGCTTGTTTATTTTATGTAATATTAGTCGTGGAAAGTAACGAATATAACAATGTTACGTACCAACCCGTTCAAAGGCAATTGTTGGACTTTAAAATCCACCATCCAGTAAGTAAATCTTAGTTTTCTGGATTTTCAAGAAAACCCTTTTCCAAGCTAGGAAAAGTTCGTTAGTGCCTGTTCATCAACAAGCAACTACGAAGTTATCAACTGAATTGTTTTATTAACTTTTGGCAATAAGAAAAATAGTGTTTGTTTTATTGTGTCTTTATTTATTGTTTCCAGCGCCCGATAGGACTATGGACCAAAAATGCCGGAGCGCCAGTTGACATACGTGACACAATAACAATTAACTCCGATCAATTTAGCAACCAATTGCTTATTGATACAATATCGACAGTAGCTGGGGAGAGAGTAGACCGAGTGGTTGCTGCCAAAGGTACAGGAGCCTTCGGTTACTTCGAAGTCACGCACGATATCTCAAAGTATACATATGCTGATGTTTTTAACGGAGTGGGCAAGAAAACTCCGGTAGTAGTTAGGTTTGCAACGGGATTTCAAAGTAAAGGAGGCTCTGAACTTGTCAGAGAAACAAAAACTATGTCAGTAAAATTTTACACTAAGGAAGGAAACTTAGATATTCTTGCTGTTTCAATCCCTGTATTTGCATTTAAAGATCCCATGATGACAAGGGACATAAGTCATGTATTTATGAGAAATCCTCAAACTAATATTAATGATTTAACAAGTTATTACGATTTAGTGACCCTAAGACCTAACATTTGTCAGGTCCTCTTTTGGTTAATGTCTGATTATGGTATTCCGAACGGCTACAGAAGGATGGACACCTTCCCTATTCACACTTATGAACTATCTAATAGGCACGGAGAGAGACATTACGTGCGCTTCAACTTTAGAACTGAATTGGGTTTTTCATACCTAACAACTGCCGAAGCAGCTGCTATTCAAGCTCTAGATTTGGATTACTTTACTCGAGACTTGTACAATGCTATTGATTCAAGACAATACCCTGCATGGAAACTTGAGATGGATGTGATGTCACTGCATGATATAGAAAAGGTCGATTACAATCCTTTTGATGTTACAAGGCTATGGAAAAATGGTACATTCTACACGGTGCCAATTGGGCGACTAGTACTAAATAAAAACGTTAAAAATCACTTCAGAGATATCGAACAAGCTGCATTTAATCCTGCTAACTTAGTGCCTGGTATTCCTGGACCAGTAGACTATTTATTCCATGGCAAAAGAATTGCCTATAGGGACAGTCATAATTTCCGTCTGGGAAGAAACCACAACAATATTTTAGTAAATATGCCATTATACGCAAAGACATATGTTCGAGATGGAAGACCACCGATCAGCCTTAATATGAGGAACGCTCCCAACTATTATCCTAATTCATTCCACGGACCAGTTCCATATGTGGATGAAAAGAGGCCATGGAAGAAGTTAAGAGTATTAGAAAGTAATGCTATAGATTTAGCACCAATGTGGCATTTCTACAATTATATTTTGGAGGATGAAGCTCACAGGCAGAGGTTTATAGCTAATATTGTCTTGACTCTTGTGCCAGTCACTCCTCCGGTTGTTCAGAGAGTTATGAAACTCTTACACTTGATCGATCAGGGTTTGAGTGAGCGAGTCAAGACTGGTTATGAGGCAGCCCTTACTGCCCAGCAGGCAGCAGCTTTGGCCAGTCCTCCTCTAGCCATTCTTTCAAGAAGAGTTCCGTCTGCACAAAATTATCCAAAACATGATACAAAATAATTTTCAATGTAAACAAAATATGGTGATACAAAAATTACATATATTAAGGTAATTGGTTTTAGTAAAGTAAGCAGGTGCTTGGGTAGGTACCCAACATGAATAAAAAGATATTGTTTCAGAATTACTAGTTTCTTGTCGTGTATAGGACAATGCCAGAAACTCTAGCCAAACTCTAGCCAAATATAAGTTATGATATAGGAATGCCAAATGTACCATTATATTGTATAAATTTCTTAGTGATATATGAGGCGGTGAACCTCCTTTGCCTTGGATTACCACCGCCGTGGGATCTGGAGGCGAGGATGCAGGTAATTTGCGGACGGAGGCTCGCCACTCGGGCGAAACTCCGCTGCTGTGCCAGATAAGTGCGTGGCGGGAAGAGCTCTGGCGCGATCTCATAGCCGTATTACAGCAACAACTGTCGCGACCGAGGGCTGGGTTTGCTGCCAGTGCATCGGTAAGAACCCTCTTTAAGGAGTGCCTTGAGAGACGCTATGGCGTCCTCACCTTCCGCCTGACGCAGGTGCTTACATCGGTGCTTCGGTAGGTACCTATATCTGATAGAGAGGGAGGAAACGCCATGTGTCATCACTGCGAGGACCGTCTGGAGGACACGGTGGAGCATAAGGAGTCGGCATGCTCTGCATGGGCTGAGCACCACTGTGTCCCCAGGAATGTGATCGAAGATGGCAACCTCTCACGTCCGGTCCTAGTTCGGGCAATAATGCGAATCGAGGAGGACTGGGATGCCGTCTCCTCATTATGTGAATCAGTCATGCTAGCTAAAGAGGAGGCGAGGCGCGTGAGGCAGAGATTCTCAACCTCCTCACAACTCAGCTATCGCGAAGGAGACTCCGGGCGTCGGGGATGACGAGACGATCTCCGGTCACGGTAAGGTCGGGTCTGCGGACGGGAAACATGAACAGCTCGCCGCCCAACCAGACCCGATCGTAAGGCGCATCGAGTTCCATGCGCGCCTCTAAGAGTCATCAGACCGCCACAGATAGGGGTGATGCCGAAACGGAGCCGCGGAGGTCTTAAAAGGTTACCGGGGCTCCGGCTTGAAGTGCAGGAGTAGAAGCGCGGTGGTGTTAGTCAATAAGGGTCTGACACTCCTCCTCGACTCACCCGGGCGGAAGAAGTCATTCGCTGATTTTTCTTTAAATGATCGAGTGACATCCACTAAATATTATAAATGCAAAGAAGTTTGACCTCCATACCAAAATTTTTCTTAGAAGTTTAAAAAAAATGTTTCACAGTTAGTCAAGTAGTAGATGCTTCTTTGTTAATTGTATCATCCTGTATGTCTTATATAGGATATAGTTAGTGTATTTGATTTTGTTCATCTACTAATTAGGATTTATAGGATTCTTCGAATTTGGTATAAAAATCGGTTTAATAACAGTATTGCACAAGATCGCAATCCATCATGAAGGCGATCGTAGCTTGTTTATTTTATTTAATAATAGTCGTGGAAAGTAACGAATATATCAATGTTACCTACCAACCCGTTCAAAGGCAATTGTTAGACTTTAAGATCTACCATCCGGTAAGTAATTCCTTATTTTCCTACATTTCACAAAGTAACTGTGGATGCTGTTTCCGGATTTTTAAGAAAATCTCTTTTCCAAGCTAAGAGAAGTCCGTTAGTGCCTGTTCATCGACAAGTAACCACGAAAGACATCAATTGAATTATTTTATTAACTTTTGGCAAAAAAGTAATGATTGTTTTATTGTGCCTTTATTGTTTCCAGCGCCCGATAGGATTATGGACCAAAAATGTATAATAGATCTATTTAGCAACCAATTGCTTATTGATACATTATCAACATTAGATGGCGAGAGAATACCAGAGCGAGTGGTTACTGCTAAAGGTACAGGGGCCTTCGGCTACTTTGAAGTCACGCACGATATCTCAAAGTATACATATGCTGCCGTTTTCAATGGAGTGGGCAAGAAAACTCCGGTAGTCGTCAGATTTGCAAAGGCATTTCAAAATAAAGGGGGCTCTGAACTTGTCAGAGATATAAAAACTATGGCAGTGAAATTTTACACTGAAGAAGGAAACTTAGATATTCTTGCTCTTTCAATACCTGTATTTGCATTTAAATATCCTATAACGACCAGAGACATGAACCATGCGTTTATGAGAAATCCTCAAACTAATATGTACGATTTGACTAGTCTTTATGATTTAGTGACACTAAGACCTGTTTTTGGTCAGGCCCTCTTTTGGTTAATGTCGGATTATGGTATGCCGAACGGCTACAGAAGGATGGACACCTTCCCTATTCACACTTATGAACTATCTAATAGGCACGGAGAGAGACATTACGTGCGCTTCAACTTTAGAACTGAATTGGGTTTTTCATACCTAACAACTGCCGAAGCAGCTGCTATTCAAGCTCTAGATTTGGATTACTTTACTCGAGACTTGTACAATGCTATTGATTCAAGACAATACCCTGCATGGAAACTTGAGATGGATGTGATGTCACTGCATGATATAGAAAAGGTCGATTACAATCCTTTTGATGTTACAAGGCTATGGAAAAATGGTACATTCTACACGGTGCCAATTGGGCGACTAGTACTAAATAGAAATGTTAAAAATCACTTCAGAGACATCGAACAAGCTGCATTTAATCCTGCTAATTTAGTACCTGGTATTCCTGGACCAGTAGATTATTTATTCCGTGGCAAAAGTATAATCTATAGGGACGCTCAAAATTATCGTCTAGGTAGAAACCACAACAATATTTTAGTGAACAAGCCGTTATACGCGAAGACGTATGTTCGAGATGGAAGACCACCGATCAGCCTTAACATGAGGAACGCTCCCAACTATTATCCTAATTCATTCCATGGACCAGTTCCATATGTGGATGAAAAGAGGCCATGGAAGAAGTTAAGAGTATTAGAAAGTAATGCTATAGATTTGGCACCGATGTGGCATTTCTACAATTATATTTTGGAGGATGAAGCTCACAGGCAGAGGTTTATAGCTAATATTGTCTTGACTCTTGTGCCAGTCACTCCGCCGGTTGTTCAGAGAGTTATGAAACTTTTACATTTAGTCGATCAGGGTTTGAGTGAGCGAGTCAAGGCTGGTTATGAGGCAGCCCTTACTGCCCAGCAGGCAGCAGCTTTGGCCAGTCCTCCTCCAGCCATTCCTTCAAGAAGAGTTCCGTCTGCACAAAATTATCCAAAACATGATACAAAATAATTTTCAATGTAAACAAAATATGGTGATACAAAAATTACATGTATGAAGGTAATTGGTTTTAGTAAAATAAGTACCCAACATAAATAAAAAGATATTGTTTCAGAATTACTAGTTTTCTGTTGTGTAAAGGACAATACCAGAATCATTATAGAACTCTAGCCAAATATAATTCATGGTAGGTACAGGAATACCAAATTTATATTTTGTTATATTCTCACTTTACTAGTGATATTTTTTTATATTTGATGGGCCGACGTTTGACTACTATCTCGCATGGTGGTAAGCGATGATATGATCTACGATGGGGCACGTCGTCCCATAAGCAACATATTCATTTGGGACACCCAGATTCCACTCCTTAGCAGTACGACAAGGAAGCTTGATGCGAAGCTTCGTGCGTGTAGGTGGGACATCTGCCATTAATCGGTGACACTTCGCTGATTGTCTTATGGTAACGATGATGGAAAGGAGTAGGGGGAATCAAGTTGTGCAATTCCTCCGCACACTCACCGAAATATATCTGGTAGAAAACTAAAGGACCATGTAATAGGGCATGAGCCTATTGCCATATATCGGGCACAATTCCAGACTCCGTGCCACTGAGATTTTATTTAACCTCAGGAACACTTTTTCCGATCCGGGAATCGATCCGGAGACCCCTTACCCGGCAGTCGCACGTGCGTCTACTCGGCCAACGAGGCAGTTATGATAATAGATGATTTTATTTAACTCGTCGAGTACCGGTTTTGTAGACACAATTATAGAACAATAGGTTGCGGTCACCGGTGACCGCTTGGTGTTTGACAGTTTAAATAAACGGTTTATTTTATTTTTATTTTATTTATTTAGAAAACCAACAGCGATACATATGATATAATACAAAATAAAGATATTACAGTTTAGTAAGGCTAATAATAGGTTTCCCTGCTTAACTTAATTTGTATTTACCATGCGAACGGACTTTAAACAATATTTAAAAATAAAGTTTTAATATAGAATTGAAAGTTAAATATACTACTTGTTATGAAAGGGAGATAATAATATTAACCCAATTAAAATATGAATTAACATAGTAAATGCTCCATGGTAAATGCTTTATGGTGAATGGAACAAAGTTGCCCGCTACTTGCCTTTATCAATTATAATATTTTTAACTTGGGCTTTAAAGCTAGGTTTTGTGCAGTTAAACACATCAACCTGAGAGAAGTCTTTGTTGTAGGCTCGCGCAATGCGAGCAAGTACACAATTACTAGCATAGTTAGTGGCATGCCTAGGTACATGCAACATTGGCGTATGGCGAGTGCGTCGTAGAGGAGCATTAAATTTGATTTGTGATAACAAATCCGGACAATCCAGCCTACCATTCAGTATGTCGTAAAGTACACACATGTCCAACACTTCACGTCGTTCATCGAGTGTAAACAACCCATACGTTCGACAGCTATTTTCGTAAGACATTGGAGGTTTGCGGAGGCGGTAGTTAAGGTGATTAATAAATTTTTTTGAACTCGTTCTATTTGATTTTTATACATATTATATTGAAGGGACCATATTGGGCATGCGTATTCAAGAACGCTACGAACATAAGCAAAATATACAGATTTAAGCGCTTCAATGTTTTTAAATGCCTTGCAGGATCTTAAAACGAATCCTAAATTTTTGTAAGCTTTGCTAGTAATAAGATCTATGTGATTTGAAAATGCCAATTTGCTATCGAACATAACTCCTAAGTCTCGAACTATCTCAACGTTCGTTCAAACGGTTCGTTTTATTCCTTGTTTATGCGTAAAGCAACGTAGATGGTCGGAATAGGTATAGGAGATTGCTCTTCAGTTAACCTTATACCATCACTACTAGCTACCTTGCTCACTCCACCTAGCTGGACGGCGCTGTACAACTTTTGCCAGATGTTTCAAAAAACATGCAACCATAAACGTTTCCTAATCAGATACTTCGAGTTATAGTACCGTGGGTTAAAATTGCTATTAACTTGAAGAAGGAGCCTTTTTCTCGTGGGGGTAGGCAGAGATTATGGAATGCCAATTACTACAATTCTTACATACTTTTTTCGCTTCCTTAAAAGTCATTAGTCTTTTCATGAATGCTTGTCGGATAAGGGTACTTTTAATTTGGCTCTTCTTTAACATATCGCCAACCTGGTCGATATATGCTCGTCTAGGCCGACCTGTACCGATGGTATTAATCATATCCGCTCTGTTTACTTCTTTCGTAAATCTGCCTTTATTTATCATTTTATATTACATACTGTATATCCATACCATCATAACATTTCTTCATTTATAATTATATTACATAAGTCTATGGTACTGGCATATTTTGATCGAAAATTACATTTTGAGATATTCCCGAACATTCTGGGAAAAATCATTCGTCAATTTTATTATTTTTAATACGCTTTTATTAGCTTCAGACGTGTAAAAATAGTGTAAGAAAAAATGATTTTATTGTATAATAAGACTTCATCTTTTTAATACGCTTTTATTAGCTTCAGACGTGTAAAAATAGTGTAAGAAAAAATGATTTTATTGTATAATAAGACTTCATCTTTTTAATACGCTTTTATTAAGTAGATAATAAAATCGTGTGATAAAATCTATGAATCTGAATTTCACATACTTCTAATTGTTGAATCATCATGAAACTTAGCAATTATATTATGTAGAGGTAGTTAGATTAGACTACCATACAATATTCTGGAGCACTCGATCTGGCCTGATGATGGGATTGAAAGGTAGCTGGTGGAATTATGGGTGGCCAAATAGTAAATATTATACTGAGTTTAGGCCCATAAGATTATTATGTCCATTTTAAATGCGTGTTTCAGATTTTTTACTGTAAATGAAAAATATATTTGTTCAAAACATTTTTTTATGTATGCGAGAAATATTCAACGATTGTTAAGTATAAATAAGAAATACTAAATGTGGGTCACAAATGGATTTAGAAAAAGAACGTGATTATGCTACTGTCACTTGTTTATAATTTTTTGTAGAGGTATTGTTCTTAAATTTGGATTTAAAAAGAGAACACGCTATATTGTCATCCTTGTCATTTTGGGTCTGACGTCATTGTTGTGTTATTTGTTTTTATTTTGCACTTACTGATCCGGATATGGAGTATATGAGTTCATTGATTATGTCCGATGCTCTTGATGATGAGAACATAGTTATAAAATGAAAAAACTGTTTTTAATATTATGATTTCACGTTGACCTTTTCTGAGTAAACCCTTGATGATTTTAATGAAACTTTTTGTTAAATGATTCATGGTGTCAATTTTACATTAAGTTTTATTTGATTACCATCCAGTGCTGGACATAAACTACTTCAACAGCATGCGGCTGAGCTCAATTTTCACATCTAATCATTGTCAGACATATGTAAAATATAATAATACTGCAACTACCGACTGTTGTACGTGCTTTCTGAGGTAGTGTATACTAATAACGACTAAATTCTCTAATCGTTGGTACTCAAACAATAAGTATGCAAATTACAAACTTCCTTTATTACTTTGATAACCGTTTATTCCTGTCATATATAAATAATCATAATGACTGGACCAGCCATAATTATTTTTCAGGTCAATGCAACTTTGAGAAATTGCATTATTTGTTTGCATAGGGTGTTCAGGTCTAATTAAGGTTACAGGGAACTGATGGATACGGCTCCAATCATCTGATCTAAAAGTCATCAGGGAATGGGGATGCCTATATGTTCATTACCTGTTAAAGCAGTGTGGTATTATCCTGTGGCTGATATGGCAATGATAGGTTATTCAGTGAATTTTATTATTCATAAAATAGAGACAGATACTTTGAATCGTATTAACACGTCGTGCAGTATACACGGCTACACGTCGAGATTTAAGAACCAGTATAAACTGAACGTTAAATGTGCGGAAAGATGATGCGACGCGACACCAGGATAAACTGGTTTTGTATAGATTGATGAGTGTTGTGAAAATAAAAACAACTACCATTTCACTTTCTAAGCTGGATGCATTTTGGTTCAGCATCTGAAATCGCTTCGATGGAAATGAATTACTTTCTTATAGGACCATGACAGATCAAAAGAATAGAGAGTGCATCTTGATAAATTTAATACGTACACACACACGCGCGCAAACTATATATAGCTTTTATCTCTTGTATGATTGGCAAGTCGCTTTTGAAGTTGAAATCTGCAAAGAAAAAGTTAAAAAAATAATAAATATCGTGCCATCTCTGTCATATTAGTGACGGAACTATACGAAAGCGCGACTTAAAATTGTAGCGTTAGAGTATTACAGTGTTAAGCTTTCAAACTTAACCTTGTTATTAGATTTCGGGTTCACTTTTAATAAAATATTTATTAAACTACTTCCTGGTAAGTTAAGCTATGCGGTCGTGGTGGCCCGGAGGTTTAAGACGCCCACTTCTCATGCTTGAGGGTGGGGGTTCGAAACCTACCAACGGCAAGTACCAATGGGACTTTTTCCGAGTTCTATGTACTTTCTAAGATTATTTAGACACCACTGACAAACGGTGAAGGAAAAACATCGTGAGGAAACCTGGACTTATAATTTCTAATTATAAGTTTGAAATCGCCAACCCGCATTGAGCAAGCGTGGTGATTAACGCTCTAACCTTCTCCGTGTGAGAAGAGGCTTTGCTCAGCAGTGGGCATTAATAGGCTGTTGATGAAGTTAAGCTAGTACTTAAAGCTCCAAGTTAACATTACATACCGTTTCTCATATTATTCATTACATCATCCTGTACATTATCTAACATAAGATTATCGGAACAATATTTTATTTTATTTTATTCATTTGTAAATTAGTTAGTTTTTAGGAATCTTTTAATTTGGTATATAAATCAGTTTTGTAAAAATATTTCACAAGATCGCAATCCACCATGAAGGCGATTATAGCGTGTTTATTCTATGTGGTAACACTAGTGGCAAGTTATGGATATTACAATGTTACATACGAACCTGTTCAAAGGCAATTATTGGACTTTAAGAAGAACAATCCTGTAAGTAAAACTCTATTGCCTTATGTAATCTTAGTTCCTAATTTTCAAAATATCCTTTTATTTGGAGTTATTGTTAACAATCCTACTTCTCTCGCGTCTTCAGTTTGCGGGTTTCATCGAAGCGAATTCTACTGCCGCGCCAGATAAGTGCGTGGCGGGATAACTTCCGGCGCGATATCATGGCGGTATGGTAGCAACGACTGTCGTTATCAAAGGCTGGGCTCGCTGTCATTGCAGCGGTAAGTCCCCTCTTTGAGGAATGGCTTGAGAGATGCTATGGCATCCTCACCTACTCGCGGAGAACCTAACGGGTTACCGGGGCTCCGGCTCGAAGTGCAAGAGTAGGAACGGGGTGGTTTTTAGTCACTAAGGGTCTAAAGGCAGGCAAAAGGGAAGGCAGTCATTCAATGATTTTCCCCCTTAAAAAAAATCCTCACCTACTGCCTGACGCAGGTACTTACCGGACACGGACGGAAGTTTAGGGAGGTACCTGATTATGATTAGGCGATAGGAAACCGGGTATTGTCACTGCAAGGACCACCCGGAGGACATAGTGGAGCATTCGGTGACAGTGTGCCCTGCACGGGCTAAGCTTCGTCGTGTTCTCAGCTCGTCCCTCTGCGAAGCAGCTAAAGACAAGGCAGGACGCTTGGTGGAACGAACTTTCTCACGCCACAGCAAACACTCCGGGCATGTTTCTGGTTGTCAAAATATGATATGTTCCCATAACTTGACAATATTAATAGAAAATTTACTTACCGATATAGGAGAGTAAGTTGGTCAGATCCTTGAATATGTGCAACTTCAAAAGTTTATAATTGTATTATTTTACCGACCAAAATATTCGTTATTTTATAATCATTTTATTTAATGCTTCCAGCGCCCGATAGGATTATGGACCAAAAATGCCGGAGCGGCAGTTGATATACGTGACACGATAACAATTAACTCCGATCAATTTAGCAACCAATTGCTTATTGATACAATATCAACATTAGATGGCGAGAGAATACCAGAGCGATTTGTTACTGCCAAAGGTACAGGAGCCTTCGGCTACTTCAAAGTCACAAAAGATATCTCAAAGTATACATATGCTGAAGTTTTCAATGGAGTGGGCAAAAATACTCCAGTAGTGGTCAGGTTCGCAACGGCATTTGAAAATAAAGGGGGCTCTGAACTAGCCAGAGAAATGAAAACTATGTCAGTAAAATTTTACACTAAAGAAGGAAACCTAGATATGCTATCTATTTCAATACCTGTATTTACATTCAGAGATCCCATGATATCAAGAGACATAACTCATGCGTTTATGAGAAATCCTCAAACTAATATGTACGATGTAACAAGTATTTATGATTTAGTGACATTGAGACCTAGCTTTGTTCACGCTCTCTTTTGGATAATGTCTGATTATGGCATTCCCGATGGCTACAGAAGAATGGACACCTTCCCTATTCATACTTACGAACTTTCTAGTAAGCATGGAGAGAAATATTACGTGCGGTTCAACTTCAGAACTGAGTTGGGTTTCTCATACCTAACAACTGCCGAAGCAGCTACTATTCAAGCTCAAGACTTAGATTACTTTACTCGAGATTTGTACAATGCTATCGATTCAAGAAATTATCCTTCATGGAAACTAGAGATGGATGTATTGTCAGTACATGATTTAGAAAAAGTTGATTATAATCCTTTTGATGTTACAAGACTGTGGAAGAATGGTACATTCTACACGGTGCCAATAGGGCGGTTAGTATTAAATCGAAATGCTGAAAATCACTTCAGGGATGTCGAACAAGCAGCATTTAATCCTGCTAATTTAGTGCCTGGTATTCCTGGACCAGTAGATTATTTATTCCGTGTCAAAAGACTAGCCTACAAGGACTCACAAAATTATCGTCTGGGAAGAAACCATGACAAAATTTTAGTAAACATGCCATTATACGCGAAGACGTATGTACGAGATGGTAGGCCACCAACTGGCCTTAACATGAAGAACGCTCCCAACTATTTTCCTAATTCATTCAATGGACCAGTTCCATATGTGGATGAACACAGGCCATGGAAGAAATTAAAAGTATTAGAAAGTAATTCTGTTGATTTGGAACCAGCATGGTATTTCTACAATCATATTTTGGAAGATGAAGCTCACAGGCAGAGGTTTATAGATAATATTGTTTTGACTCTTGTACCAGTCACTCCGCCGGTTGTTCAGAGAGTTATGAAACTCTTACACTTGATCGATCAGGGTTTGAGTGAGCGAGTCAAGGCTGGTTATGAAGTAGCTCTTGCTGCCCAGCAAGCAGCAGCTAATACCACCCCTTATGAAACTATGTCTTTCCGAAGAGTTCCATCTGCGGAAGGACATCCCACACATGAACCGCAGCAATATTCAATGAATCCAAAAAAATGAGTAATGTTATGTAATAGAATCGACTTTTATTTAAATTTTTATTGTACTTTTCATTTGAAAAATAATAAATTGGTGGTAATTCAGATGCTTATGTAAAATTTATGAAGTTGGATGATAATTTAATGAATATAGGTAAATCATTGCAGAATATGTTTGTTTTATTATTTTTTCTTCTTCTGTTCTGTAGGTGGCAGTAATGTGACCTTAAAAAAATAACATGATACATTTTCACCCTCGTCATTTTGAGTTTGGAATCGTTTATGTTTCAATTGTTTTTATTTCGTACTAACTGAGCCCGGTATAACAAGTTTCGGTATACGTAATAATACGACTGTTTCTCCTGAAGACACCGATGTACCTACAATAATAAAAAAATAATATGACATGTTAAGCATTTCTGAGTAAGCTCCGTGATGATTTTAATAAAAGGTTTTGGTAAATACCAAAAACATAATAATAATAATAAGCCCGCACCTTGAGGTGAGCGCTCAGTCACTGTTCCTTATTCTCCGGCTTGCCTTGATTCGCTGGCTGGAGTAAACAATAACGAGGACCAGGTCTCCCACCTCTGGCTTGCCTTCATTGGTCGTCCAGAGTGGAATCACGAGAGCAGTGATCCTGGTCGGAGGGTAAGAATCTATTCGGAAGTTGCGAGTGGGCCAGGATGCAGGAGGCTTTGACTGGAGCAGATGATCTGAATAGAAAGCGATAGTAGTTTCTTAACCCTTCAGCCACTCATATTTTCGTTGTTCCTCTGTTGCTATGTCTAGCAACCAATTCCGGGGTCAAGTCGGTGAGTTGGCGAGTCTTCGTCTGCTGATTTTTAGGTGTAATACTTACATTTTTTTTATGGCATAAGCCGGTAAACGAGCAGACGGATCACCTGATGGTAAGCAATCGGCGACGCTCATGGACACCTGGAACCTGGCCTTTTAGGGATTACGAGTTTGAGGATCGTTGGGGATTCAGGAATTGGGGAGATTAGGAAAGGGGAGGGTAATTGGGCCTCCAGTAACCTCACTCACACGACGAAACACAACGCAAGCGTTGCTTCACGTCGGTTTTCTGTGAGGCCGTGGTATCACTCCGGTCGAGCCGGCCCATTCGTGCCGAAGCATGGCTCTCCCACACTTCACATTGTTTCGGCAGATCCCATAGTCATCTATAGTTCCCAATTTACCAGTCCACAGCTACCCATCTATATCCTTACCTTTTTTCCCATTATCCACAATAGTTCTACACTAATAACCGGGGACTGTCATTAGGTGCATTTCCATAGCGTATACAGGGACAGTCGCCGGTTTGTGTGTCCATTACATTTAGATTTTTTTAAGGGGGCAAAATTATCGACTGCCTGCTCCCGCCTGAGTGAGGCGGGAGGAAGTGTAAAACTCTTACTGACTAAAAACCACCCCGTTCCTTCTCCTGTACGTCGAGCTGGAGCCCCGTTAACCCTTTAGGTTCTCCACGATGTTACATTTAGATTAAGGTTGTCGCCTCGTACGCCTCTCAAATGACCCGGACCCTGTAGTCCCGTAAATGTTAAAGACATACATAATAATAATAATATATACAGATGATTCATGGTGTCAATTTTGTATTAAGTTCATTTGATTACCGTCTACTGCTGAATATAATTTTTGCACCTAGTCACTGATATATTCAGTTTATTAGATCTTATGTAGGTACCATAGAATATAGTCAGGCATTACTTTGCGGAAATCTATGCTACACTAACAAGTGGAAATATATTATAGCAAGTAGTATGCAGCACCGCTCCCGCTCGCAGATTAACACTCATACAGAATAGATGCGACACAAAACACTCACATACACAACACGTAACCACTAGAACAACACTTGACATTATATGTTTCACTCCTTCACGGAGCATCCTCAGGAGTAACTCGGTAGCTCCGAGTTACTGCATGCTGCAAATTCATTCCTTTAGCGGAATAAAAACTAAATATTTTCCCAGTGGTTAGTGCTTACGTACGTTAGATATATACAATAATACTGCCACTACAGACTTTTGTACGTGCTTCCTGAGGTGTTGCGTGTGTTATTTCGGGAGAGCCATGCATCGGCACGAATAGACCGGAGTGATACCACGGCCTCACAGAAAACCGGCGTGACAAACGCTTGCCTTGTGTTTCGTCGGGAGAGTGAGGTTGGTAGAGGCTCAATTACGCCGATCTCAATATCCCTAATTTCTGAATCCCCAACAATCCTCAAATGTTTTATCCCTAAAATGCCGGTAACGCACTTGTAACGCCTTCAGTGCCTCTGGGCAGCGCCGATTGCTTAACCCATAAAAATGATAATAACAACTAAATTTTCTAATCGCTGGTGTTCAAACATTAATTAATTGTTAACTTAGTTCTTTCATTTTTTTGATTACTGATTTACGACAAATATAACTAATAATTGAACAGGCAGTAATTGTTTTTCAGGTCAATGCAACTTTGTGAAATTGCAATATTTTTAACTACATTATTTGTTTGTATAGGGTGTTCAGGTCTAAGTCTAAGTACACCGCTGGATGCAGATTAATTTATATATAATATTTCTGCTCCGAGCAGGATCCCTGGTGTCAGGATGTCCGCAGCCTGAGGCAGTGAGTTCTGTAACTGATATGCAGCTTGCTAAACTGGGTCCACACACAAACAGTTGTCGACTATGACATTTAAATCTCGTTTAAAAAATTGGCTAAAAGATCAAAACTAAAAGATTTCGTATTAAGTCTAGCTAAGCTTCTGCATCGATTCTCAAGTCATACTGTTTATTGATTATATCACCCTGTACATCTAATATAGGATTTAGTATAGTATCAATATTTTATTTTCTTTGTTTAAGTACCTACTAATTAGCTTTTAGGATTCTTTTAATTTGGTATATAAATCAGTTTTGTAAAAAATATTTCACAAGATCGCAATCTATCATGAAGACGATTATAGCGTGTTTATTCTATGTGGTAACACTTGTGGCAAGTTATGAATATTACAATGTTACATACGAACCCGTGCAAAGGCAATTATTGGACTTTAAGAAGAACCATCCCGTAAGTAAAACTCTATTGCTCTACGTAATTTCTATTTCAAATTTTCTTATATGCCACATTAATCTCCAAATGTTACTTTATTTTGAAATCATATTGACAACCTGAATATTTCTGAGTATTGTTATTGGATTATGAATACATTTTTCAAAATACTTTCTTCTGAACAGCCAATAAAATAAACGGCTCATTGCCATGAAAAATAGAAATAGAGGTGCAGAGGTATTAAAACATGTATTGGACTCGTTGCTGGGTTAACCACATTCAGCAATACGATGTGCCGTTTCGAATTGTTATTAATTGTATTATTTTAATGACAAAAAAATTTTATAATTAAATGGTGACTTTATTTAATGCTTCCAGCGCCCGATAGGATTATGGACCAAAAATGCCGGAGCGCCAGTTGACATACGTGACACGATAACAATTAACTCCGATCAATTTAGCAACCAATTGCTTATTGATACAATGTCATCAGTAGCTGGCGAGAGAATACCAGAGCGAGTGGCTACTGCCAAAGGTACAGGAGCCTTCGGTTACTTCGAAGTCACACACGATATCTCAAAGTATACATATGCTGAAGTTTTCAATGGAGTGGGCAAGAAAACTCTGGTAGTTGTCAGATTTGCAACGGCATTTCAAAATAAAGGCGGCTCTGAACTAGCCAGAGAAATGAAAACTATGGCAGTAAAATTTTATACTGAACAAGGAAATTTAGATATGTTATCTATTTCAATACCTGTATTTGCATTTAGAGATCCCATGGTGGCGAGAGACATACTTCATGCGTTTATGAGAAATCCTCAAACTAATATGTACGATTTAACAAGTATTTATGATTTAGTGACATTGAGACCTAGCTTTGTTCACGCTTTCTTTTGGATAATGTCTGATTATGGCATTCCCGATGGCTACAGAAAGATGGACACCTTCCCCATTCATACTTACGAACTTTCTAGTAAGCATGGAGAGAAATATTACGTGCGATTCAACTTCAGAACTGAGTTGGGTTTCTCATACCTATCAACTGCCGAAGCAGCTGCCATTCAATCTGCAGATTTGGATTACTTTACTCGAGATTTGTACAATGCTATTGATTCCAAAAATTATCCTTCATGGAAACTTGAGATGGATGTATTGTCGGTACATGATTTAGAAAAAGTCGATTACAGTCCTTTTGATATTACAAGACTGTGGAAAAATGGTACATTCCACACGGTGCCAATAGGGCGGTTAGTATTAAATCGAAACGTTGAAAATCAATTTAGAGATATCGAACAAGCTGCATTTAATCCTGCTAATTTAGTACCCGGTATTCCTGGACCAGTAGACCACATATTCCGTGCCAAAAGAATGTTCTATAAGGACTCACAAAATTACCGTCTGGGAAGAAATTATGACAAAATTTTAGTAAACATGCCAGTGTACGAGAAGACGTATGTTCGGGATGGAAGACCACCGATCAGCCTTAACATGAAGAACGCTCCCAACTACTATCCTAATTCATTCCATGGACCAGTTCCATATGTGGATGAACACAGGCCATGGAAAAAGTTGCAAGTATTACAAAGTATTTCTGTTGATTTGGAACCAGCATGGTATTTCTACAATTATATTTTGGAGGATGAAGCTCACAGGCAGAGGTTTATAGCTAATATTGTCTTGACTCTTGTGCCAGTCACTCCGCCGGTTGTCCAGAGAGTTATTAAACTCTTACACTTGATCGATCAGGGTTTGAGTGAGCGAGTCAAGGCTGGTTATGAAGTAGCTCTTGCTGCCCAGCAAGCAGCAGCTAATACCACCCCTTATGAAACTATGTCTTTCCGAAGAGTTCCATCTGCGGAAGGACATCCCACACATGAACCGCAGCAATTTTCAATGAATCCAAAAAAATGATGAATGCTATGTTACAGAATTGACTTTTATTTAAATTTTTATTGTACTTTTCATTTGACAAATA